CTCAAAATACTTGATATGTTTATTCGGTGATTAGATGAGTATGGCGAATGCTCTAAAATTTAATTCCTCAGTGCATTGCAATAATTTGTGAAGTGTATGTTCTAACAACAGTTACATAATGCAATATTTTATGCAATTGTTTTACATATTTATGAATTAACTAGAGGGAGTGCTACCATCAGTTATGTTGGTAACTGTATCATAGTGACTCAACCTCCCCTCTTTATGAAAATATTCATTTTGGATATTGTAGTAAAGGGAAAATTTATTATCTGTAACTTAAGAGTTAACATTTTTAGCTTTGTTCTAAGAATTGAATGTCATTGATGTTTCAGCTGATCCATTTTAAAGCTTTCTTCCAGTGTATAATTTAAGGAGGAAAATTTTTTGGCATACTGTGTTTTCTTGGAAAGTAAATATTGGCTTATTTAAAGAATCTTTTGTAAGGAATTTCATTCATATATTGATATTATAGAATATGGCATTTCAAGTAAAAAGTTATCAATATTTATTTACCAAGCTTAGCTATGTTGTGACACAAAGCCATAAGTATACTTTACCCAGTGAGAAATTGAACTCGCTAGTAATGATCTGAGAGTTTGACTTGCTAATTATTACACCACAACAAAGTGTCCATTTTAGCTATTGATAAAACAAACAGTGGATACAAGTAGAATGTCATACCATGCAATGCAACAATAATCTGCTGTTTTAGGAAAAAAGGTTAACCTGTATAATTGGAATATTTTCATAAATGTGTATTTCATTTTCAACTATGATAGCAATTTGTGTGTAAAATCTTATTAACTTACTCAACCATGGAAGATTTCTCTATTAACATGTCTTGTGGCATAAGAATTGAGAACATAAAAAGTTATTATTGACAATGGTGAAGGATATGAAAAGATGTCTTTTCTAAAAAATATTTGCTAAAAATGATATCAGTTAACTATTTTCAATATTTGTGTCAGGAAATTAATTTCAAATTTTTTCCTTATGGAATTTGTCATGAATCATATATTTACATTTGACTACATAATTAATACAAATACTTATTGAATATAATGGCTAAGTGAATGTCATAAATATATACAATTGATTTGATTTCTAATGGTAATCACAAAATTAGATACACTGATGGCATAATCATTATTAATGCAGAAAATGGAATTGACTGGTAGGGTTCTAATCCCAATTAAGGCTGTTGTGTTCACTTCATACTAATACCTTTAAGAAAGACATGCATAAATTTCTCTCTTCTCTCCTCAACAGTAGGGTAAATAGCATGGCAGATAAGGTTGGCAACCAGTCTAAGAGAAGAAGGTTTCTGAACTCAAAATTGTGAAGACAATGGGAAACTATTCCATTATCTTTCCTAAAAATAGTAGCAATGGCAATACCATTTACAGCTAATAAAAAGAGGAAGATTTGGAAAGCCATAATCTCCATCTTGAAGAGACGTAGCATTATGATATAGTAAACACAAAACTAAGCATCAAATCTGCTATACAAGTTGATAAATTACAATCTCTATCTATAAAAGGCAGGATGTGTGTGTGTGTGTGTAACGAATGTACAGCCACAATTTTTGACGGATTTGCACCAAAATTTACATGCACATGCTCCAAGTTAGCGGGAAGGCCAAGACCAACTCCCATCGATAGTTGAAATAATCAATTTTTTCATGCTTCTACAACAGTTTGCATGTAGTTTGCAGCCATTTTGTACTGACCAGAGTGAGAGCCTATAGCTGGCTGCCATGAATAGGCAGGAAGATTCTATTTGGCCAGCATGAGAGCTAACAGCTGACTGACACGAATGTTAACTAGCATGCAAAAAAATCGATAGTGCATTCATCACAAGTGGGAAAAATTTAAATCTGCATGGCACTTTACTCCAATTGGCTCATTCTCTTGCTTAAACTCAATGTTGATTCTGATTCCGCAGAACTGTGTTGGGTGTGAAAAAGTATTTGTTGTTAACATTCTTTTTTCATTCGGTTTTTCTAGTTACGAGTCCTTTTTTAAAGCTGATCTTTTTGTGTTCATTTTGTTTAGTTCTTTTTTTCGTAACAGATTTAATGTTTAGTATAGAGCTTAGAAAAAGTGTGAGATAGGCAAGAAGTAATGCATGTAGCAACATTAGCACGGCAAAGGGCACTCCTTTAAAGGCAAGGAAGGGCAAAAATATTTTAAGTCAAGTGATAGTGATTGCTGTATGAGTCGTACGATTTTTGAATCAAGCACATGCAATGCCGGGCCATGCTGCTAGTTTATTATATACCATTCTTATAAATTATTTGATTATAGTAACAAATTAACTGAATAATGAAGAGATAACTGTTTTCATCAACTTAAAAATAAATTTTTATGCTAGTTATTACAGAAATACTTCAGGATTCTATATCAATATAACTTGTATAATTTTAAAATTTCAATTTTTCTTCGGGTTTATAGATACCTCTGGCAAAAGGAACTTTATATTTTCTTGATCACAAAATCAGTTTTAACAATTATGTGCTATTTGTATGTATGCTATTAACTATTGGGATAGTTTTCTTGTAATTTATAAATCTATAAAAACAGTTTATGAAATCATTAAACATTTGAAAATGCACTTTTTCTCTTCAGATTAAAAAAGAAAAGCTTTTTCCTTTTCCTTTTTTTTTTTTTTTTTTTTTTTTTTCCCTTTTGCTTTTTTTTTTTTTTTTTCCCTTTCCTTTTTTTTTTTTTTTTTTCCCTTTTCCTTTTTTTTTTTTTTTTTTTGTTCAATTAGTGAGTGCTGAAAAGTTCTCAATCTAGCTCACTTCCCAAATTCTAACCAAACATCAGAATTTGTTTTGAAATCCTTACTTGGTTAGCCAAAGAACTTTTCAGCATCTTTTAGTGGATTTTGTGCATTAGTACTTCTTTACTTAAGTAATTTAATTACCCTAGTTTCATATTTCTGCAAAATTTTTCTATAGAATTATCTCTTGAAATATATACAATTAATTTTATTTTACAGATATAACAGCTATGATCTTTAGGTAAATTTTGATAAAATATAGAACTTAGATGAACTTGGTTAATAGTTGCTGTATATTTGTCAGGTGTTAGAAAGTTGAGCAGCATTAAAACTTTTTTTTTTATGGGTTGGTGACAAGAAATGTACTAAATAATATTAATCTTTTATAATCCTTTTAACTCAGATTTTCATGTTATCTAGGTTAACTTTGCAAATCTGACATTTTTATTTTGTATTAGATTGAAATATTGATTTTGTTTTTGCTATGAGTGAATCAATTTTACAAATGCAATATCAAAGAGAAAAAAAACCAGACAGGCAACAGAATTCCATTGCCCACTAGAAGCTATCCAGTATTCACTATGATGAATTAAAAAAAAGCTACTATAAAAGGGAGAGATTCCTCCATTACTAACAATCAATAAATATAGCAGCAGAATTTTTCTGGCTTCTATGAAAGCTATTTTTGTTCACCTCTACTCTATATATTTATTGAAATGCATTTAAAGATCTAATTAAAGTAAGGTATTAAAATTTTGCAGATTAGCTGTTAAAATATTATCCAGGAGACTGTATTTGTTAGCCATCATTATCCACCTACAAGAGAGTAAATACAAGAGAGTTTACTGTTATCTTGAATGTTTTCATTTGATGGAATATCTTGAGAATTTAATGTTACAATATAATGTACAACAAAATAATTTATTATAATCTTTACATTAATAACAACTCTTGTGTGTGTGGCATAAGTTATCAGTGCAGAAAATAGAATAGGGAGACTAATGCTGATGTGTTCACTGGAAAGGCCAGGCTCTATCCCAGCTGTGAATAAAATAATGGAACAGACTGTTTTTAACCTTGCTGAGGAGGCATGGTGGAGTAATGAAGAGCAGCTTGGATTGAGGAATCTGAGAGCCGAGTTCAAATTCCAGTCAAATCCATTATATTCACTTACGTGCTAATACCCTTGGGAAAGGTATGAATCCTCTTCCCACCCCCCAGATATGGGTAAATAGCAGGACAGACTGGGTACTATAGCCTTGGATGGCAACTGGTCTACCACAAAGAAATGGCAACCTACTGTGTGAAAAAATCTGCCTTGTCAGTTATGTATTGAAAGATACATGATCGCCTAAGCCTGTATCATGCATGGCACACAACTGAAGGTTACCAGCTTAAGGGATGTACAATTCTGAATTCAAACTTCTGTCAAAATATTGGGCAATGTAGCTAGTTACTCCCTATTTCTGACAGACATTAGGAAAGGCCTGATTCCCAAAATGGGTGATAATAAATATTACATTAGAGATAATAAATATCTCTGCTCAGGTAGCTTAAAAGCTGATACACGCATAAATGCTAGTCATCAAAATTATTGAAAAAGTACATATGTTAAATAATTAAAAAAATATCTGGCTTTCCTCGTGAAGAATAATTGTATTTTATATTAAAAATTTTAATATATACACAGAATTTAGTAGTTTTTTTCTATGTATTTATTTTCTTTCACAAAGTCAATATTATAATGCAATATTTTAAAATCAAAATTTTATATAAATATTCAAATACTTCATGTATGCAATTATGAATGAAATAAGATTAAGTATTCATAAACAACCATATTTTCATATTACACTGTCAATTAATTACCTGCAATTAAGACTATTTTGATAATAGTAAATAAAATCAGTATTTCTGATTTTTCATAGAATAGAAATTGCAATTTTAAACATTAGTGTTCTTTAACAGTTTGCAACAAACTCAATTTACTTTTTTTTCCACTACTATTAAATACAAAATTCTTAAAAACTTATATTTATAGAAATACAGTAGTTGCCACAAAGTAATTGTTTTTTATAAACTATTGAAAAAAAGTTTTAAGTCTAATTTCTTTTTTCATAAAGACACCCTATCATGTATCTTTGCTAACATTATTTTAATATTTAAAATTTACCTGTTTCTATTTTGCTGAATTTCTTACTTACTTTTGACAGCAACTGGAGCATGGAAAATAAAAAAGAACTTGTACAATCATCTCTTCTTGATTTACTCAAAATACATTCAATAGAAACAATGGATTTGTAAGTTAATTTTTTTTATTCATATTTTTTCCTAGTATGCTCATGCTCTATTTTTCCCCAACCAGAAATAGTTGAGTGCCAAATTTAGATGTTTATGTTTAAGTTTTTACACATTATCTGTTTAAAAGGGTAAAAAAAATAGTATATAATATTGGTACTAAAATAAGTATGTTTTAGGAATACCATTGATGCTTAACAAGCATTTTGGGGGTTTAAATACTTTATCACTCACTTAAAAAATCTATGACATTTATCAATTATTATTTATTTTGGATTCTTGCTTAGCATAAATACATGCTAATTATTGTTTTAAGACAAACATGAGAAAGATTTCTGTAAATTTTTGTTTTCACTTTAATAATTTAGTTTCTTTTTAGGTTTTAACACTTTTTTAAAATAAAATTTTCATTTCTTTGAGACTTTTTCAAGGGGAAGAAAACAAATATCAAATCAGAAAAAATAAAGGCAAAATTCAAGTTAACAAATAAAAACTCAGTTTAAAAGTATCATATACTAGTTTTATCAATTAATTTATTTATGGAAACTGAATATAGCAGATAAAATGGTTTATCATAGAATTGCTGCTATTGGAGTTTTTAAAAAGGGTCTCTTGTTTTCGTAAAATATCCAATTTTTGTGGGGGGTTCTTTGCATAGCAAATGTAATTTTTTAATTATTTGTTACAGTATTGAAATACAGAAAGTCTCTGAAAGTATTTAAAATACTTAACATTTTAGGGTAATATTTAAACTATTTTTTAATAAGTGGTTTAGTGTAATTTGGTAGAAATATCTGAATATCACAATTTAGAAAATGGGATAGATACATGTTTTGCACCAGCAGAACATGGTAAAAATAAAACCTTGTAACTTCTATGTGCATGACAGATCTTGAAACTGTTTATCAAGTAAAGCCTTTGATGTGATTTGTGAAGCCTGTGATTGAAGTTTCTTTTCCTTGTGATACATAAAAATATGCTTTCTTGAAAGCTTATTGCATTACATTTAAACTATTTACAAATTAAAGTTATTTCAAATTAATACTTTGAGTTAAATATTACTTGATTAATTTTTTTAAATCTGTTAAATGAAAAAGAAAATTAAGCTTGTTTTCTGGATAAACATTCCTTTTAATAGATTGATTACCTATAATTCTATATTCAGAACTGTTTTGAATATGTAGATTCTGTTTATTTAGATTTTAACTAAGACATTGAAAAAATTTCTGCTGGTCTTCACTGTCTCAATTAAAATGCAAGAATTGATGAGATTTTTTTCTTTCTTTCTACAGAATGATCGATGAAATAGTTCTTAATTACATCATTGGTATCATTGAGGATCTTGATACTGAAGGTTCTACTGATGAAGCTGAGGTGGAGCAGTTTCTTGAAATGATGGAGGCATATATTCCTGGTTTTGATAAAATAAAGGGGTAAGCAATTTATTCAGAACTTATGAGATGATAGATGAGAAATTTATATTATAAAAGAAGAGCTGATTCTCTGTCCATTACACAGTTTACATCTGACTTTGCATATGTAATGTATATGCTTATATTTGTGTTGTATGTGAATGACTTACATCAGTGTGTAGCCATTTAATGTACACACAGGTACTTTGACTGAGTTTGAAATAAGTCATTGGATTAATACATTGTCCTCTCTTGAAAACCCCTGCCCTAAACTGAACAATAAAATCATAAAGTTGGAGACAAGAAAAAAAAGAAAAGGAAAGTTAAGGTCTGTCAAAATATGTTTAAGGTGTGTGTGTGTGTATGAAATAAAATTAATAAAAATAATCAGCTTTGCTCTCTTATTTACAATGAGATATTCTATTGGTACTTAGAACCTGCCAGCTCAGATGGCCACAAACTAAATGTCCAGTTTATTAAAAGTTTAATGTAAATTCAATTTGGTGAATTTAGGTTAAACTTCTAAAAATTAATGGGCACAAAAAAGGCCCAAGTTCAATGAGAGGAGAAAATGGTGCAACTAATTTCATTGAAAAATCTTAATTTTTAAAGTACTAACAAATCAGATAATTAGTTGATAAAAAATAAAATTAATAAAAAAAAAAAAAATTTCCTTTTTTTTCTTTTTAATTTTGTAGAAATATTTTTAGGTCTGTTATTGTATTAAAATATATATGCACACATGCAAACGAACATTTACACACAATTTGAATGAAGTTAAAATGGACATCTGTGTTGCAAGTGCTAATTTCTCTTTTCTGTCTGGCAGCAACTCTTGAATAACAGGAAAATAGTGTAAATTGAAATGTGCAGTCCTTTGAAGTCATTTTTATGACTCTTTCTCTATTTAAACTGAATATATTTACTAATAAAGTATTTTTAAAGTACAAAAAATTAGATTTAAAATTTGATCGTTTTGCCATTTGTGAAGTAACAGGTACCAAACTAGAATGTATAAACAGGATGCCATTGGCAATTACCATTTTAATACATATATCATCATGTCACTAAACATTTGTTAATTGACAATTAGTACTAATCCTCACTCTTGCTCCATATGCGGGCCTCCTTTTTAAATCACTAGTGGGTCTTAAGTGCCACTTAAGATTATCGCACAAAATTTCATAACTGAATCAATTAGTTAAGTTGTCAGATCCTCGTACATCAAAACTGTCAGGAGAGTCCATTATTTTATATATATATATATATATATATATATATATATGATTTTTGTCCTGTAAAAGCAAGTTTTTAAAAGCAGTAAATTCTAAAACTAAGCAATTATAAAACTTTTCTTTAAGTATGACTGAAAATCTTAGCAATACAGTGTATCATCTGGCAATAATAATCAACTTTGAGGTCTTGTCAATTCAGTAAGTTTTGTTATTTTAGAATAAAAATTTCAACATTGATATTGTATTGCATATATTAAGTAAGAATAATTTTGCATTATTTTAAATTTCTTGCTAAGACTTTTGCTACTGTTTGGAATTTTGTCTTAGATGTAAAGCAGCAATTATGTAATGTTTCTTTTCAACTAATTTCACTGTGAAAAAGAAAATATCCATTGAAATGTTGTTTTTATTTCTTTTCAGCCCTGAGGTTATTAAATGGATGTTCCAATTATCTCATGATATGTCTGATCAAAAAAGCTGCAATTCAAAGAATATAGTTTGTAAGTCAATTGCCTAATAATCAGTATTATCCTCCAGCATTAATATTTTTTTGTTTATTCATTTAACAACATTATTTTAGATGCAGACAGATGCAGTATTTAAAAGCCTTTGACAAAAATGGTTTATTCAATTCATCTAAGACCGCATTTTTTAGTAAATATTCAGCAACTTGGATTCATGCTATAGTTCGTATCCACTGAAATTTGATTTTTAAGAACTGAATAAGATATTGTTATTATTTAAAATGTAGGAATAAGTTACATCTTTAACTTGAAAAGATATCAAATCTAAATGATACAATGTTTTATCATTCAAAAAGTATTTTACATAGTGCTTTAATTCTAAATTTCATCTAATCTTCTGTATTTAAGTGAAGAAAAATATCAAAATTTACTAAAATTTTACATTTCAGCTGATGGTTGTATATCAGATTCTCCTTGTCTGTCTATTCCAATAACAAATCCTATCCAAGGTTCTAAACAGAATCAAAAACCAGCTTCAAGAAAAATCGACCAATATACATCTAGTTCTTCTGTAAGTCTTTATAGCTTGGATAAGTAAAGTTCTTTCTTTTATTTGTTTTGTTTTTTAATTCAATAACTTCGTAATTTCTTATGAATTCTTAATGATGCCAATACAGACATCCAAATCACCTTTGAGATATTATTTACATTGTAATAATTGTTTTAATGTACAATCAATTTTATTTTTAAATTCTAAAATGTGTTAATATATTTCCCAAGTTTTAACATGTGCATTACATATACTTTTCATTAAAAAATAAATTTTATGAATCATTATCAAACATAATATATCCATCAAATTAACTTCATTATGTTTTCATATAATTTTATTCTTAAAACTAAAATACTGATAACATTTTGCGTCATCACAAAGTTGGTGGCCATTGAAAGAAAAATCCATTAAGTTATGCTAACATTTTTAAATGGTGTCTTTAATTATTGTTCTGAAAATTTCATGTCTTTTTCATATATTTTAGCGACAAATTATTTTTAATTTTATAACATTTAACACCTGTAAAAATTTAGTTTTCTTTTTTTTTAGTAAAACTTTAAGCTGTCCTTGGAGAAAACAGTAAATTCTGATGATATTCATAGAAATTTCTTAATGTTACAATTTTAACTTAATTGACATTTGATTATTTCTGATAAAAATGTTATTGTGATAATTAATTTTCAAAAGCATCTTGTGAAAGTGGTGATTATTGAAGGATACAAAGGCAATAACATCAAAACTTTTTAAAATTCTAAAATCTATACTACTTACCAAAAATAATATTGCCTTTGAGTTTTACTAGCTACTATATTGCTTCTTAATTCTTATGTAAAAAAAAGTGGGAGGCTGTTTAAATAACCACAAATTTGAATATAAATATTATTTTTTTATTGGTAACATGAGTTTTTCTAGGTAATCTGTTTGTATGTATATGTGAGTATATATATATATATATATATATATATATATATATATATATATATATATATATATATATATATATAGTAATCTGCCAGTAGTTAAACATCAAAACTGCAAAAATCTTTAAGAGATTTTGACAATAGTAAATTCTTTTTTAATTATATTAAGAAATTTATTTGAATATTTTTTTATTCATTACTGTCCCAAAATTTGGTTGATTTCTTTTTAATGCATGCAAAATGTCAAATGTCTTACATTTATTTGAAATTTCCTTATCAGAAATCCTCTTTTTGAACATTAATAAAGCAAAATTACTTCATTTATTTATACTTTCTATTTTGTTTATATTTCTTTTTAGATATGCATGTATGTGTTAACCTTTTTTCTTAGTAAGTATGCTATACTTTTTGTTTAAAAAAAAATCATCCATCTTCAAAATTCATTTGTAAATTACTTTTTGTAATCTCACAAATTTCAATTTTGTTCATATACTCAAAATTCATTAATCATAATGATATAATATTGTTGCCTAAAAATCAGCAGAATTAGAAAATGTGACAAAATTTCTTTTAACAATTTAAATGCTATATCATTGCTTTATATTAAAGGCTTTGTAGGATATACAACAGAAATTTACTTAAAATGATGCACAATAATCATGGAATTTCAGAACAAGAAAAATTATCTTGTATATTCTTGATAGGACAGATTTAACATTAAGATTGATGACAATACAGTTAAAAATTAGTTTTGTGTACCATACATCAGAATAAAAAGTAAACAGTTGTTCAAAAAATGATATTAAAAAATAAATTACTTAATCATTATTATCTATTAGTCTACAAGAGTGGGTACTGTGCAATATTAGGGACCTAATACCTGACTCACAAAAAATACAATGTTACATATAAAATCAAGTGTTCTAGATTGAAAAAGTAAATACATTTACATTCTAAACTGGCATACAGAAAAAAAACATTAGTCAACATTTTTCCTTGTGCATATAGTTTCATTATTTATACAATATTTGGACTATCAACTGTGTATAATAATAAAAGGATAGTTATAGATCTGGTCTGGATCATTATTTTTAGAACCATACTTTAGATACAAACAGAAGCTGTATTTTGAAGCCTATAAGAAATAGTTTATTCAAAACTTTATTTAGCAACTGGATCCATGTTGTAGCGCTTAACTACTGCATTTTTCATAGAATAAATAAACCACTGGATAAGTTCCTTATAAATGTCACTTTTAGTAAAAGTATGATTAAGTTATCTTCATACTGCAATATTTTAATTGTCAATATTATTACTATTATTATTCAACTTCATTACTAATGTTAATTACATCATTAAAAGCCAGTATTATTAAAAATTTTACCTATATCACCCTATTATTATGTTGAAAAAACAAAACCTATTATTATTATTGAAACACCAGTTCTCATCCATTCACTGAAGTTAAGCAACCTTTAACCTGGTCAGTGCCTAGATAGGTAACCACTTAGGAATACCAAGTGCTGTAAACTTGGATGTGTATGTTGTGTAATGGATTAAGGTTCAGAATGAGAAATCAAAGAGTCAAGTCCAAATTCCAGTTGGGTTCATTACTTACTTGGGAAAGGTATGAATCCACTTCTCCTCCTCCCAGCTATGGGTTAAATAGTAAGACTTGTGCCAGAAAGTCATTATCTCCAAAATATTCTTACAACCCTAAAATGTTTCAGCTTTAAATAACCAAATCAAAAAGGTTGATAAAAAAAAAATCAATCAATAAAACCAAATCGTTTCTAATTTTCTCTTGAATTAATGATCTTTTGAAAATATTGTAATCAACTGAAATCTTAAATGCTTTTGTTATCTCAGAAAAGACAAAACAGAAAGTAATTTATAAATTCTAAAGAACTAAATTTCAAACCACTTGAATCTATAGTCAGATTAGATCATTAAATATTTTCTTTTGATTTAATTTCTTTACACTTACTCTATCTCTCTTTCTCTGGTTGTTTTTTTTTTCTACCCACTAATTTTCTCATCACTTTATTTCATTTGATTTTATTTTTCTCCATTTTGCATGTATTTTAATCTTATATGCTGGCGAAAATGGTCCAATTAAAATATTAAAATCAACCATGACTTGTTTGATTATTTGCAAGCAGGTTTTTCATCCTTTGTTTTAAAATTGTCTAAGGGAATAAGGGGCTTGTGTGTGCGTTTTTTTTTTTTTTTGTTTTTTTTTTTAATATGGTTTTAATTCAGTATTACATTGTTCTATTATTGTCTACAGAGAAAGATAAAGCATAACTGCATTTTCAATTATCATTTTCATATTTTATATAATATTCTGATAGAATATCATCATTTCTACATGATTGCTTTTGAACATTTTCCCTTCATTGTTTTACTGCTTCGTTTCTTTATAATTAAGACATGTTTCACAAATTGTTCCATTTCTCATTTGGTAATTAGAAGACATTTTACAATTCATTTTACCTCATTTTATTTTATACAAGACAATGTTTTTTTATTCAAAATGCTCAATTGGAATATTTCCAGACTAACAATTTTTTTACTTTAGTTTTCTCCAAGCAGCTTTAACATTATATAAATTTCCTTTAAAATTAATGTAATTGAAATTTTGACTTTTATTTTTCTTTGATAAGGAAAAAAATAAGTTGTATCTTTGTTCATTTACTATTTAGCAAATTTACTATTTAATTTTTAATATTTAAATTTACTATTTAGCAAATTGACCCTTTGAATTTGGATTGAAAAAAAAATGCACTATGTAAAATGATAGTTATTAGAATGGAGCAAAAACAGCATCATAGACTGTTACATCAAAAATCATGTTTATCTTCAATTACTTTAAAGTACTTTCATTAAAAAACATTTTGAATAATGCAGTTACAAGTTAGTTGAGGACATGAAGTTAGCCAGGCAACATGAAGACCCACTTCAGGCCACAATTATTTTGGAGTTTTTGAAATTCAATTTGTCAGTGTGCTACCGGGGATGTAAAAGAGGATACATTTATAAAGCAATTGTTAAGTTTGATGAAAATTGGTTGAAAGATCAAAATAAGAAAGAAACTGGTATTTATATGGGTGGACTCTATTAACAAGTTAAATGACTGTTAAACAATCAAATTGTTGGCTACAATTGAGTGAAGTTTGTATTAGATTGCTTGAAAATTGAGGGAGTTTTTAGTTTAAAATTTGTGTTGAAATTGATTTTTCATTTTTCATGGTTTTTCGCTAAACGCAGTGGCATAGAAATAAAAATGAGGTATCGTTGAGTTTTTTTTTTTTATTACATTAAGAACCTATCTCTTACATTGTATAATGTATGTGCCAAGTTTGGTCAAAATGTGGGGAATAGCCCATTTCAACAGATATGATCATCTGTCTTTTCAACCCAAATATGGAATGGAATTCATATCCGTATAACTAGAGGAAGCAGGAAGTAAAAGTTAACTTGGATCAATGGAATTTATTTTATTTTTACTATATATATATATATATATATATATATATAATGTTCATGAAAGTATATTTACTTATTATTATTAAGAAATAGTAAAACAGCAGAAAACACTTAGACCTCACTCAGTATGTGTATAATTATCAAGTATTATCTGACCTGAGATAATGATCGTACCAGAAGTGTACAATCTTAAATATATTTAATCACTTTGTTTTTTAATTATATCTGTTTATATAAATTCCTTTTTCTTCAATGTTGATGATATAACATTTTTTTAAGTTATTGTTGGCTCATATTTTTCTCTTCAAAATGTATTTTCCTACATTTGTATAAACTTATTTCACAGAATCTGAAATTAAAATAAGATCAGTTATAATTTTCATGATTGCCTGCATTGTTGATTCTTAACTTTGGAAATTGTATGCAACTTTGTGTCAAAGATTTATTACATTCACTACAAATTGGTCCCATTTCAATGGCACAGTTACAGTACTTCTGGAACACAAAGTAACCTACCCCTGTTCTGCTAAAGTCTGTTGATGGCCTATTGACTTTGAGTGTCTTCACACCCTCCTCAATTTCTCATGCATCCTTTGTTTTTGTTGAATATTTGGTTGAGTGTATTGTCCCAGTAGAACTTCTGGTCGTTTGTTCATAGCAATTCCCGGAAAGGGGCCATTATCTCAACTTGGGAGAATGTATAAGAGACTTGGTTCACAAGTTGAAACCAGCATCTGACATTAGTAATGTTTTTTGGGTGTAGGGAACTGCAGGATTGTTTCCATTATCCTCTTAGTGGGTTTTATCCCACCCTCTATTATACAGAACCTGGCGAAATTCACCTCCTTTTCTGTGAAGTAAAATTTCTCTGGGTTGAAGACAATACTATTGCTGATGCAGTGGGTAATATAGTCCATTGTGTGCCAAAATGATGCTTCTATGCCGCCATCCCAGAGTATGCTATTGTTGATACATCAGATTTTTCGAACCAATGGTAATATCATCGAATTGACATGTATACACATCTATTGATGCATGGAATCCCTGTGGAGCCCAAAGGTACTGATATCTAGGGTATGGTGGGTCTCCCTCATGGTAACAGTTGGGCTTCTGCAAGTCTACTGCAAGCTGTCCTTTTTTGGTGCAACCACCATCCTAGAGCAACAAGTTGTAGGTATGCCCACCAGCAGTGGTTCAATGATGCCCAGTGCAACATCTCAGTCAATGTCCTGTTTAACTCTTCTATTCCAATGATGTGGAACCAGGATTGGGGTGTGGACCACTGTTCTTGTCCCCAGAATGAAGGTGATGTTCAAGGGTATTCCCTTCATGGTCTGTAGCTGTTAGTGCAATGTGCTGGATCCCAAATGCTCCAGCATCCATTGTTTCAGTTGGGGTCTATTGCTCTCTGTAGGGGTAATTGAGATGTTTACTGGCTTAGGCAGGACGGCCATTCTTAGAAGGCATCCACATGAGACCTTTCCATTGTTGCTGCTTGCCACGTTTTGCTGTGATATTGAAGTTGGGAGGTTATGACCTAGATCCTTCAAGGCCAATTCAGATAGGTAAAACCTGGATGTGTTCTCCGACACATGATTTGGTGTGTTACTTGTGAACTCTGATATGTGTGAATATTACACCTTTTATGTGTAGCTGGTCCTCTGTGATGCCCTAGATTCAGTGACTAGCTGGTATTAGGTATTCGTCTGGGCATCTAAGAATTTTCTGTATTTCTGGTCTGCTGGAGTATGTCTATGCCCCAGTGTCAGCTACTATGGCAATTTAGTGTGTGCAAAGGCTAGTTGGTCCCATGGAGGTGTACCAGAATTCATCATGGTTACTTCTATCATCAAGGATGGTGGTGAATATGGAGGCCCCCAGCTTGGAATTTGTTTCCGTCCTAAATGAGGTGAAGCATGGCCTTTTGTTGTGCCAGATTGACTTTACCCTTCCGTTTATGCACCCTTTGGTGGTGAGAATATGAGATTCCTGTTTTGTCATTCTCATCGTCAATCTGTTATTGTTCTCTGGCACACCCACTCCATGTGTCTACTCAATCCACAATTAAAACATGCCAACTTGGACACTGAGCAGCCCTTCTGACCCAATGATCCATTGGGATGTGAAGTCCTTCCACACCCTATGCAGAGCTTGGAGTATTGTGGTTTTGGAGAAGTCTTGACTTTCTGGGACTCTCTCTCTCTCTCACACTCTGACTTTTCCACATTGGATAATGTAACTGGGTGTATAGTGCTGTGGAGATAAGGGGTCAACTAGTCCATAGTTTCTAGACTGACTAACCTGTCAAATTTCTGCTCTAAAATAGTGAGAGTAGTGGCCTCCACCAATATTTTGCTATTGTGTTTGACATTTGCAAGCCCTGCCACCATTTGTCTTGCTACCATGTCGCTGGAGTAATTCACTTGCTAACTGCAGTTTGTTGTGTTTGAGCAAGTAACTCTAAACCTGCAAAATTTGGCCTAGGCTCATAACTGAACTAAAAAATGCTTGATTAACTCCCTCTCTTTCTGCCTCATAGAGTGAAAGTTCTGTGTGTGCATTTCTTTGTGCAACCCCCTGAAAGCAACAAGCCATATCTGCTGTAACAGCTATTCTTCTGTGGCTGAGGTGAATGTCCCCCCCCCCACTAGATTGAATAGCAGATTGTTCACTTCTGGGGTACACACCATCCTCGGCATATTCTTAATAACTGCTAGGTCTGTTAGTTCACACATCTCTTTATAATGGGTCCACGTGTCAATAAACATCACCCAGTTGCCATCTGTTGCATCCTGTCCTATTGTAGGTCATTCCGGTTTTCTGAAATGAGACGTGTGTGGTTGGCCATGAAGTCCTTCCTTTCATAGTGCAATGTTTTCCTTTTTTTAAACCAGTTGTGGCATAAGCTTCAAATATTGTTGGTCTATAGCTGGTTTTGTCTCCATGTTTCAAAGTCATCAATTTGAATGTTTTTTGTTTTTTTTTGCAGTTTAAAAAAAAAAAAGAACCTATCGGCAAGGCCATGGAGAGTTCTTGATTGGCAATTGGAATCTGTCCACTTTCCCAGGCTTCTAGCCTTGTTTATATTTGCGTTGTTCACATGTTCCACGTCTTGCATGTGGCTGGATTAGTCCATTTCATGAATAGGATACCAGTATTGTTCTTACAGATGTCCCTCTGTATGATACAGCCACTTGTCCTCCTCTACAATATCGATGTTTTTAGTTTCCCCCCATTTCTTCTTCTTCTTCCTCTGTATTTTAGTTGCAAACAATCTAACAGTGTTTATATATTTATCATAACAATGAATTCTTCTTTTTTTTTTTTTTTCTATTCACTGGCATTTTTAAAATAAGTAATCTTACAGATAAAAGTTGTTGATGTATATTTGTTTCAGTTTTGAAACTACTGCTTTATATTTTCATTAAAATGTTGTAGCAGATGACCTATTCAAATATAAAACTCTTTCTGATTCCATTTTTCGAATTCCTGTAAATTTACAGGGTTTTTTTTTTATTTAATAATCAGCCAAGCTTACTGCTTGCTTCGCATGACTTGTTTTCTTTTATCCATATTGGTAAAGTTTTCATCATTAATATTCATACTGATTCCTGTTCTTCCTTATAAGTCTCCAAATGAAGAAGATCCTGTACTTGATGAAAAGGTACGCAAGCTTTTGGAGATGTTCCCAGCTTCTTGTCAACTTGAAGCCTTTCACTGCCTAAGTTTGGCGGGGGGTGACATGGATGAAGCAACTCAGCTCATTTTGGACCGTCAAGAATCTGGGGAAAGTATTGTTCCAAGTGCTGAAAAGGTTTGATTCATGTTTACTTTAATTTTTTAAAAATAAATTAATGTGCCTACTATACATTTGATCTGATTTTTCTAATTTTGAAAATTTACACAAGTACAAATAACATATTTCATTAATAATAATAATAAAAAACCAACAATTTTATCAATTAATTTTTTTTTTTTAATTTTAGAGAAGTAGATTTTAAAAAGAATTTCTTACATGTTTTTTTATTGTAAAAAAATTTATAAATGCTAATCAAAAAAACTATTATTGGATGTAAATCTAATTGGAAAAATAATGTACATTAAATTCATATAGTTTTAGTATTTCATCAATTAATTTTGGTTTCTGCTTTCAGAGACTTTTACATTTTCAAGCTCCTGTTCAAGATGACAAGAAAGTCAGAGATCAAATGTTGCAGAAGTATGATTTTTATCTTGGTTTTAATTAGATTTTCTATTTTTTAATTGTTTAAGCATTCTTTCTTCCTTTTTAACAATGATATGAAAGCTCTTAAAAAATAATAGCATTTGAAATAAGATTTATGCTTAGTTTCAATCAAATTAAAATTGACAATATAAGAATGGAACTGCTTTAAAAGATTTAATATAAATTGCTTGATTTGACATGTTATTGATAGACTTTGTATTAGCATTCTGTGAAAATTAGGCAAAATTTTAGGTAAAATAAAATTTAACCAAAATAATTCTTTGCCTGCATGTTATTCAAAATAAACTTTACTGAAAGTTTACTATTTTGTTCCACTAACTTCTACCATCTTTCAGGCAACTTCATAATTCCATTCTTCCAGAACTATTTTCTTTTCTAGCAAAGAACTACTCAAGGTGTTTTTATGAATTGATTTTTTTTTTTTTTCTTTTTTTTTTTTTTTTCTTTTCTTTCTTTTCTTTTTTCTTTTCTTTTTTTTTTTTTTTTAGAATTCCCTATCACAATAAAAGTAATCCAAAAAGTGCAATATTTACTAAATATGGCAATGAAAACTTTTCAGTTAGATTAACAATTTTTACTTGGTCACCAAAATCATATGGTCCTTTCTCTTAACTAATTCTAAACACTTTACATCAATTGCCACCTTCAATTGGATTAATTGGTGGCAAGCTTTGTTCAAACCAATTGATTACTTCTCTAGAAGGAGCTTAGAAGTCTCCCTTCCAATCTTGCTATATACAAACCATTATTTTCTTTAAGTGAAAATCAACCTTTGGTACAATTAGTAGTGGTTTATTTTACTTACTCCACAATAAATTTCATTCCAAGTTATTGTAAAATGTCTATTTTTCATTACCTATTATAATTTGTTTCAAAAATTTATTATATTTAGATAATGAATCATACACGAAACTACATCATGGTAGATTTTTAAAATTTTTATGAAAGCCACACAGCAAAGCAGTTAACGTTATCAATCTGATTTTCAGTGTTTCATATTTTTAGTATGTTGGTTATTGTCTGCCCATATATTGATTATTCTCAAGTAAATTGTTTGAATTTTTGAGATAAGGAATTATCAACATTAATATTTATACATTTTTCTCTTCAGACCTGCATGTTCATCTTCATTGTTATACTTACAATGTTTTGGTTATTGTACCCTATTCGGGTGTCTGTTGTACTAGGTAATTTTATGAAAATCTTGAACCAACTCCTTGATTGAACCCATGTGAGTAGATTGTTCTCATTCTACTTTTTATGCATTTTGTATCTGTTAATGCTTTCCAGAGTATTCACTTTTGTGTTGTTTGTTTCTTTCACTGAACCACACTATATGACTTTTCTACACTACTCAACAAGAGATATGTGGCTTAGTGTCTGGTTTCTTAGCAGTTGTTAGTTCAATCCTTGTGTCAGAATATAAAAGTTACATGCTGTTTCAATGGAAGAAACTATCAAGTGATACAAAGGTAAATAGACTAGAGAAAATTAACTGATACAAAATATTCCCTAAGCATGGAAAATAAAATGAGAATAATCTACCTATGTGGTTTGAATCTAAAGTCTGAGATAGTTGCCATATATGATGGACATCTAAAGAAAGTAGAAGGATAGAATGCCTAAAATGTACATATAACAACCAAAATGAACATGCTAATCCAAATAAAGAAGCATATAATATGCTCAAGTAATGTTTTTTTTTAAATCACACAAAATCTTCAAAGAGAAATCACCAATACAAAATTTTGCAAATTTCTTGACTGCACATTTTTTTTTTCAGTTTGAGTGGCATTATTACCTGAAAATAAAATAAAAATAACATAATATACAGAAAATATTTTTTTTATTTTCTTTCACTGTTAAAATCAATAAATAAAACCAATTTTAACTACATCCTTAATAGTTGTAATTTTCACTTCACAGAAGAAAACTTCTATTTTTCATTATGGTTTATTATTTAGCAGATTGCTATCCAAAACTAAAGAATTTAATTTAAAGAATATTTAAAACTATTTTTCTTTTCAAGTTGGTATGGTCTAACAAAATCATTTATTTAGCTCTGAACTGAAACATTTAAAATCTACAGTAAGTATTCAAAATTATTAAAGTGAACAACAAATATCCTCAAGCTTTTGTCTTTTATAAATTCATAGAACTCATAATTCATCATTGTTTATATGAATATTATTTTTCTTTTTAAGATATGCTTATATTGATGAAGAAGAAGATAAAAAAGTTTACCGACCAACAGCACCAAAAAGTGTAAGTTATATACTATTTAATAGTAATAATTTTTATCAATTTAATGATATTTAACACTGAATTTTCTTTTCTTTTTCTTTTTTCCCATCAATTTTGCAAAAACCTAATATGTACTTACTCACAATCAGTTGTTGCTTTTCAGTGCTGCTACTTCATAAAATTTTTTTCTTTTATTGCAGGTGCCAAAAAAACTGGTACGCTATTTAGATAACAAAGTGGTCAGCACCAAAGGAGAACGTTTTACTCTGTTTAACAAAGATGATGAAGATTCTCTAAAGAAGACCTATATAAACTTAAAACCATCCAAAAAGTACAGATTCCATTGAGGTTTCTGGATCTTAGTTTTCAATGACTTCTTTCATGTTTTAAACCAGTTTACTTTGACTGACTTCAATTTCACTTCTTCCCAACTTCTCTTTAGCTCTGGCACTTACAATACTTTCACTTTATCTACCCCCATCCCCCATTTCTTTTATTCATCACAGTAAGTGAATTATGGATTGTTATGTGTTTTATGTCATTTTTCATCTTTCTTTTTCTTTAATTTTCTTAATACTTGACAATATTATCTATAATGTTAATGACAGTTATGTTATTATGTTAAAATTCCTTCAAAAATGGAAAAAAAAATCAGGCAGGATTACAGATTTGATTTGTCTTTTATAAGTGTTTTTTATTATTATTCTTATACCACTATATAAATTTAGTGGTAACACCCTTTAAAAGTGGCAAAAATAAAAGTCCATAATGTTAAAAAAAAAAAAATTCAAAAGTCTGTTTATGATGTCAGGTAAGAAAAAGTATAACATTTTCAGGGGTATAAAAATATACACTATTAAAATCACTAACATTTGTCAAAACATAATATTGATAAAATAAAACAATCAAGTTCAACTATACAAAACTTTGCTGTTACTTATTTAAATAATTTATAGGTATTTGAAGCACAAAACCCAAATGCTTTATTATTTTAATTCTGCAATCTTTTAAATCAAATTTTAAGTTTATGCATATTTCCTTTGATCTTGTTTTTTTATGTAGCCAAATTTATATTTTGCCTACACTAAAATGTTAAGATGAAAGCTTTTTACATTATTTATAACTTAAACATAAATTTATTTTTAAGCTATTAATCATGTTTTGATAGCAGATTATAAATTTTTGATAATATTATATTGATTGCCACTTATTTCCCGAGAACAATACTTTGCCAATGCAATATTGAGCTTCTAGCAATGCAATATTAGTCTTGTATATACTTCAATAAAAAAAGCCCTAGACTCTTTCAGCTAAAAACACTGGATAACTGCAAAACAGCCTGATATGATTCTTTCCAAATATAAAACAAGTTAGAAAATAATAATTTCATTACATTTGTTGTTGTTGTTATTAAGGAAAAAGTAAAGAAATGTGAAAAATAGACATAAACACTGATTTGGCATAGAATCCAGTATCTTATACAGTTTGTTCAAGAAAATCATGACTTTTAATAGTTGAGGGTTATTTTTCCTCATCTTCAGTATTAACACCAGACGTATTGTTTAAGTACACAAAAACTTAAACAATTGAATGTTTGAGAAATGTTTGATTTTTATCTATCAAATATCTATTTTGTAGGTTATCCATTTCTTTTAGAAATATACTATCATTATACAATTGTAAAATCATATTAATAAACATATTCCATTTAGATATGCTTTTCAAACATATTGTTTTTTTCATGTCTCTCATTTGTCATTTTTGGTACTTTCATTGAGAAGAGACTATATTTCTTTTTAATAAAATATATGCATTCTGAGAAGTAATTACAGTACTCATTCAGTTTTGAGTTTGTCTAAATAGAATCCTAATAGCAACCCATGAAGATCTAAGTGCAATGCAAATGAAGAAAAATAACGCAGTTTCGAGTTTTTCAACTGGTTATTCAATTTTAACTTAATTACTATGTCATTTTCTTAATCCACTTGATAATTAGTCGTTTTTCATGATTATACTATTATATCGAATTTCTAAAGTTGTATTTAATTCTCACCTTTTTCCAACAATATTCAGAGCAAATATAAGTTAGAAAAAGCATAATTTACTCTAGTTAAAGGTTGTTTCCCTTATATTGAGTACTGTGAGTGGTATTTATTTAATGATTCAAGTTGTTAATACAAGTTAATTTTTCTCAATTTCCTATCACTATCACTTAGAAAAAAGTAAAAGAAATTTTGTATGTTAATGTTTCTTAAGAATTCTAATAAATGCATTGAGTGTAAATATGTAAATTAATATAGAAAGTATAAAAACTATAAAATTAAAAGAGAAATAAAGGTACTGAAAACAAAATCTGTTGAAGACTGAAAAGTATAGTCTTTACAAATTGACAAAAATTTTATGCTAATTGGGCTTTTTTTTTTATTAAGAAATTGAAATAGTCTTTTTCTTTTTGCATACACATCAAATTTCACTCAAATCTTGTTTGGAAAATATTTACTATAAATGCTAAAAATATATAAAACATTAAATCGATCCATTTAGTGTAGCTCATTATGTAGATTAAAGAATTATTTTATTAGTGCTATTTTTAATTTCACTTATATATTATTTTATTTCCTTTGATTTCTGGTGTGTACTCATTCTTATTGGGGCCTGACCAGATACCTAAGGTCAGAAATGGCATCATGACATTTTTCACTGAGCAAATAAAAAAAAAAAAATCACATATTTTACATAGATAAAGCCCTTCATAAGGTGTAGTCTGTACTTGCAAGAACAATTTTTTGTATTTCTTTAAGGCATGGGCTGCCAGGAATGTCTTCAATGAGTCTATTAGAATCTTTTCTAATAAATCCAAGGCCTTAACTACAAGTAGAATTGATGATGTTCTCATGTGCCACATTTTTGAGATTTCGATTTCAAGGTCCTTGTATTTTGATAGCTTTTTGAAAATCTTCAAAGATACATTGCACTCTGCAAGAACTGCCATATCAATAAGGAGGAACTTTTTGTCTTTGCGATCTCTAATCACGATGTCTGGACAATTAGCTTTGATTGTTCTGTCTGTGTGTATTGTGCAGTCCCATAAGATTGTTCCAGTTCCTATCTCCATAACCAGGTCTGGGTGGTATTCATACTGATTTTTTGCAGTTTTCTTCCCATAGATTTTTCAGTACAGATATTGGCCCACTCTGCCTTGCCATATTCAGTGGGTGCCAATACAGCACAACCTGATACAAGATGGTCAATTGTTTCTGTATATTTATCACAGAATCTGCATTTTGGGCTAACACTATTTTTCAGTATGTCTGTTTGATAATTTCTAGTTAGCAAGTATTGGTCCTGTGCAGCAAAAATAAAACCTTTGGTTTCAGCTTTTAACCCTGCACTACATAGCCACTGATGGGTACGGGCTTTGTCTACATCAGCTTGTTTGGTACGGGCAGAGTATTGACCATGAAGCAGTTTATCTTTCCATCATTTCTTTATCTGGTCAGTTGCAGTTGCCTTTGCTTTCATTTTTTTTCTTTTTTTTTCTTTTTTTTTTTTTTTTTTTTAAGTATTTTGCAGTTTCAGTTGGTGTATTGTATTTTACTTGTATTTCTTCACCCATTATTATTATTATTATTATTATTATTATAATAGTAACAACTATGTTTATCAATCAGTATAATGCCAGTCATGGGGATATTTTCTAAGCTTATGCATTATTCATGGATTAGATTATAATTACAATAATTAACTAGTCAAATTTTCAGGATATTTATATGACCAGTATATCATGAATTTCGATTTATAATAATAATCATTATTATAAAAAATATTGATAACAACTTGTTTTGGGAATGTCACATTTTTACTATAGACACAAAATAAAACAAAATAATTTATTTCTAAATAAACCCAAAAGATGTGTCAGAAACATAATATCACATTTACATGAATAAATTATTATTTTACATGTTAATGATCTGTGTGGTATTTTATCATCTTTATCAGTCTTTAATCCAGTGATTTTGTTAGCTTTTTACAATTTTAACTTTTATATTGCTTGCAGAAGTTTTATTACTTCCCAGAGATTTTCTTTGCTTGAATATAGATTTCCATTTTCATATACATCTTTTAATGATGGACTATATGTTTTTTATTGGATTTACATCTGGAGAGACTGGAGGCCAATTCCATGAATTTACAATGCATGATTCAGCTTTGCAGAATGTTAAGGCGAGTTGTGCATTAATATCCTCTTTAGTTTAAAGCTTCTTGGTCGTGACCTGTATTGTGCAAAAGATGTCCAAGATTATACAACAATTCTCTACAATTTTGTTCATATCATCATCAATTTTTGCAGAACCTATAATTTTACTACTTACAACACTTACCCAAAAAGATTACTTTGTCTTGTTGTTTTCTGAATTGTAGTGATTGATTATATACATAAAGAACTCAAAACTTCTATCCCAGCAATCAAGTCTATCTATTGGAGCTCTACATTCATCAGTAAATATTACTATTAAAAAATCGGTTTTCATGTACTAAACTCATCCAACTTACATGTTTCTCTTTGTGATATTTAAGGTGGGAGTTTGGTTGCTTTCATGATTTTGCTCCATATTTTTAATATTCTCCCTCAGGGGAAACACATATACATGGTGCGATGGATAAATTGTCGTCTAAATTACTCAAAAAATGAAAATTATATTGATATCTCATTTTAACAGATATATTTACCAAAATTAGACAAAAATATCTTGAAATACTAAAGAGTAAATTTATTCAATAAAATTGCCATTGGCTTCAACCACAACTGCCAGATGACTTTGTAATATCCTGTGACTCTTCGGGATGGCCTCCTTGTTTAAGTTGGTGAATGCTGCCATAATCCTTGCCTTCAGTTCATCTTTGGTGTTACAAGGAGTTTTGTCAGTCACTCAATCAGCTGCGCCCTACACATAATAATCAAGGGTGTTGCAGTCTGGATAGTTAGGTGGCCAGATGGAAGTGGGTGATGTGGTCACAGAAATTGTCTGACAGCCATGACTCGGTTCTCCTGTTTGTGTGACATGGTGCAGAGTCCTGTTGCCAGACAGGGTTTTACAGCAGCCACCCTCTTGACCCAAGACAGCACTACATCCTCAAGACAGTAGGCCACCATGTTGAGTCTGAGGCCCTCACCAACAAATTTGGGAGTTATGATCAGAGTGAGTTTTCTGAGCTGCTGTACCTTCTTAATCACCATTGGACTCATCCAAATCTTTTCAAATCCTCTGCACTGTCCTCAAATTGACACCCAAACACTGAAATGTTTGTACTGGAGTTTCCGGCACAAATGCCAAGCAATACAGCATGCCGTTTCCAAATTTCTTATGGAGTGAATTGCGTCATGGTGCTTACAGACAGTGCCCAACTGACTCTACTGTGCAGTCAACAAAATTAAAAACAAACAATATGCATGCACAAAATTAACAATATAAAATGGCGACAATTTACTTATCGCATCCTGTAGTAGATAAGAATTCCATATGTAGCTTTACACCATGTTTTTATAACAAGGACTTTGCA